ATTACTCAATTTCTTAATTTAAAAGTAAGTATTAAAAAACACAGATAAACATAGATTTTTGTGTGTCACGTGGTATGTTGAATGCACCACTGGTTCAGTCTATAGTTTCGATTGAATTAAAAACTCAAATTACCTATATTTACAAGCTAGAATATAATATAAGAGCCTCTTATCTTTTCAACTTGCTAAGGTATTGCTCATGTAATAAATCAAAAACAGTAGCACCCCACCCACCTCTTTCCATTATTGGAAACACTTCCTTATATACACTTCTATATATATGACATGAATAACCAATCGGAAGCTAAGAATATACCTGTAGTGGCTTTCTGAGCCATTTTAACAGACCTGTCGCCATTTCTTTCTTTTGAACCAATATTTCAACGAGGTAGGGTGTGTCTTTAGTCTACTCGAAATTTCATATTTTTTAGACTAAAATGTATAGACTTAGTTCTATATATGACATGAATAACCAAGCAGAAGCTCAGTATGTCCCCTAGTGGTTTTCATCATTTCTAACATACCTAGCACCATTTCTTTCTTTTAAACTAAGATTTCAACGAGACTATTTTAGACTAAAATACAGTTGTTACTAAGCTTGATAAATTTTAGTGGAATTCTATGGTATTAATGTAGTAATTTATGATTTTTTAGTTATTCAAATATATATATAAAAAACCTAAAAAGAAATATTTTGTTTCATATCCTCCACTCGCAAAATTTTGAAAGGCTTAGGAACCTAATTAAAGCAGCAACCGAGTACAAAGGTCATAACTAGAAGAGAAAATTGTTTGCTTAATTCTTTATTTACTGTTCTATGTTTTAGGAAAAATAACATTAAGAACTTATTTCAAAATAACAATAATCTATATACATATATAATGTATAATAATTGAAATCTGACTGTATTTCAGAAAATACTAGTTAACTAAAACACAGCCAAGACAAGTTACTTTGCACAGACCAAAGGTCAGTTTTATGTTATTTGATACGGTAACATGAGTGCGTGTGAGCCTCATCATTGTAACTTCTGTATTGTTAGACAGGAACAGCTGAAAGGTCAATATGATAAAAATAATAAATATATATAAATGTATAATGTTATGCGATTCGACCTATTTAGTCTAAACATTTATGTTTTCATGTTATAATTTGTGTTCATTTTAGAATGAAAGAAGCATAATTTATATTTCTTTCCTAATTTTTTTATGGTGGTTGCGAGATCAGTCAAATCTACCGAACCCGTACAGTGATTAATTACTTAAAATAAGAGATAAATATAAAGTTTTTTCTTAAGAAACGTTTGATAACTATATCGACATTATAAAGATTTCACATGTCAAATTTCAAAATCTTCTGATGCATAAAAGTATTTTTAATCTTAAAATGAAAATTACTTTGCATGATAGATAGATGTATAAACGTATATATAATGGATACATTTTTCATTGTTCAATAGCTTCAAGAAGCATTTTCCAGAGGAGAATTAAAACCTGGACTTCATGCTCTTGTACCTCATGTGAAAAGAGACCATATTAATAATGTGGTAAGTCTTGTGTTTTGATTTACATAGGTGTTTTGAGTATAAAATATTTTCTATTACTCTTTAAGAATTTTCACTATTAAGAAGGTCTTAGACTGTTTTATACACCAATTTTTATCCATTTTTAATTACCAAAAACATCCAAAATATAAAAGACTCAAAATTAATATTTTACATAGCAGGTAGGCCATTTGAGGATTTCTTTGCTAACATCAGACAATTTTAGTTGCTCAAACAGGATAATTGGTAATAAATAATAAAAATTATTAGTTTAATTGATATAAAACGAGTATCTATTGGACTGAACTACTCTTGTTATAGGTAATAGCTATATACAAGTAAAAAATGAAAAGCCACTACTCGAATTTCTTTCAGGTATAAATTAATATGTAAAATAAGGCAAGCCACCGAAATATCATATTTTTCATGTATATGTTATAAAATTAGAGAATGCTGTTGAGCAAGTTAAAATTGTGTTAGCCATCGATACGGTTTTTAATGAAAAATGTAAATGATAGCTGTAACCTGGGAAAACAGAACAAAATGTATTGAGATTAATAACATAACATAAAGAATTGTACTGTTTAAATAGATGATGGTAACTATACTACCTGTTTTGTGAATGAATATGTTGTAAAATAAAGTTGTTTCCCTTTGTATAATAGAACTTTTGTATTTTCTTTTTTCCTCCATTTCAGACTGGTCTGAAACGGAAACTTGAGGAATTCAAATTAGATCTGGATTGGGTAGAAAGACTAGACATGAGTAATGATCCAGCACCTGCTCACCCTGAACTTACAGCACAATCTGTTTATTCAAAAACTAAGAATAACAAAGTGCTTAAAGGAAAACAAGAAGAAAATATTGTACACAATGATTTTGAGAGAGAAATGAGTTTGTAAGTTTTTGTTTCTTGGATGGATTGGTAGTGGAGTGCAAATAAATTCTGTTGTGTGAAATTTCTTATCATAATGAATAATTAATTCTAAAATCCAGTAACATTTTATAATCCAAAGTAACATATTTAAAGTTTCTATAATAATTTTACAATAACTGATAAAATTCTAAACACTGACACTTTCTAAAGGCTTTGGAATTTTGATACTTGAATTGGGATTCATGTGGCAATTGTTTTTGAGTCATTTGATTTATGAAATGTGTTGTGTATCATGTCAAAAACAGCTCTTCTGATTCTATGGGCTTCACATTGAGTTATTGACATTTATTGCTAAAACAAAGAAGACAATCATCTAATTTTTGTAGAAGAGAATTTTATCTTTCTTTTGGTTCTAAGCATGTCCAATAACAATGTCAGAGAGAATTATAAAGAAAAAAAAGACGAAGGTTATTGGAGGGGTGTGTCAATGTGGGTTGAACAAATATTGTGATATCTCTGTAAATAATGGAGATAAGAGGTTGAAATTTAAAATTCTATCTTTTTAAGCCTTTTGCAATAGGATGACACATTTCTGTTATTTCCTTTACTCAATATCTGGTTCATATAGGGATTTTCTTCAATTCCCATCTCAGTTGGGCCCAGCCTTCTCCACTTTGTCTTTGGAATATGGAGCTGTCGGTCATCAAAGCTCTATCCTCTCCTTCTCTGCCAGCTTGAGAGGTTCTTTCTCTTTTGGGGATGTGGACTTCCTTGGAAGTGCTCATTCCCTTCAGTCATGCTCATATGCATTCTATTCAGTGGGAACTCTACGATTATTGAAATTTCTTTTTGAATTCTCTGGATCTTCCAGTTGACCTTCCCGCTTCACTATGGTCTGATCTTGTTTGGTGGTTGGACAGATACAGTACTACATGTGGTGTTCCTCTTCCACCTCCTCACCCGGATCTGCATCTTTTCACAGATGCTTCTTTGTGGGTTTGGGTTCTTCTCAAAATGCACAGGAGACTTTTGGGCCTTGATCTTCAGCTGAAGCTGGACTTCATGTGAATTTTCTGGAGCTCATGGCTGTTCTTTGGGCCATGTCTTGTATCCTCCATTTTCTGTGGGAGATGGTGGTTATAGTGCATTCTTACAATTCCTTGGTGGTCTCCTACATCACCAAGCAGGGGTGGACTAAATCCAGGTCCCCTTGTTTTCGATTACTGGAACTCCTCTTCTTGGCCCATCAGCATCAGATACAGTTATGAGCTAGCCATATCCCAAGTGCATCGAATCTGGTGATTGATTGGTTGTCATGTCCACACAAAGTCCTTCCCATGAAGTGGTCTCTGGATTCTCAGGTTTTCTGGGTACACCACACATTGATGCATTTACCACTCATCTCAACACCAAACTACGGTCCTACTTGTCTCTGTTTCCTCATCTTCAAGCTTTAGAAGTCAATGCCTTCAGCCGGGAATGGGGGACTTCCACATTTATGCCTCCCCTCCTATATGTTTCATCCCCAAAGTTTTCTCCCTCATCCTCGCAACTTAGTGTGAGGTTCTTTTGGTAGCTTCATATTGGCCAACTCAACCTTGGTTCCCTTTTTGGGAACTTCTGCAGGTGTCATCACCTTTGTCCCTACCTCTGTCTCCATTGCTTCTGTGTCAACCTCAGTTGGATGTCTTTTGTCCTGCTATTCCCACCTTCCAGCTTCATCTGTGGCATGCTGCTTCTCTTCTTTCCTATTCGATCCATTTCTCTATGTTGTTGGTCTACTTTTCATCTATCCAGCATGGATTAAGACCTTCCGTCCTACTGTTCCTCACCATTTCTTGTTTTTTGCTTGGCTCTTTGATCAGGACCTTTTGTTTTTGATTGTTTCTGGCTATAGAACTTCCTTGTCGAACACATTTTGCTTTACCAGGTTCTGCTGGTTTTTTCTCTCCCGTCCTTTCCCTCCTATCCATGACAGTGAGAATTCAGTTGTTTTATTTTCCTTTTCTATATCAAAGACAATTTTTGCTATTATATGAACTATTAAAAGCTGTAAACTTTTCAAGGTCATATGTGAACCCTGGGAAAGGTATTTATTTTCATGATCCAGACAGTGGATTACAGGTATATGTGGCATTTCCTAAATTATTTTACAATACCATTTGGATTTTGAAACAAGTATATGAAATATATTAAAATTAGATATTAGTTTTACAAATAGCACCAATTTTGTTTTTTTTTTTTTTTTTTTTTTTTTTTTTGTTGTTTATTTATTCCGCTATGTTATTTGTCAGGCACTTGCCAGCACTGCCGTGTTGCTATATCTCTTTCAAGCTTTAATTGTCTGTAGTCTGTCATTCACTTATTTCCAGTTCAAAAGTATTGAACAAAATAATGATCTCATTATTTTATTGAACCACTTGTGGTTGCTGATAAGTTGTGTGATTTCTTAATGATGTCAGAAAAAATGGATTGGGCCTTTTCAAAAAGGGTAGGCTGGGTAACCAGGAACATGAGCACTTTTTTCCTTGGCCTTAGTAGCATACTTGATCATTGAAAAAGTAATTTAAATATCAAAATATAAAAGAAATGTTAAAGTTATTATGCACTACTTATAATTTGAAAGTTTCCATATGCTTAAAAAAGTATATTTTAACATTTAATTTGATTTTACTGGAATGGAGTTTTTTAAATTCTCTAATTCGACTAAAAAATACAAAACAATATGTTCTATACTGTTTGAAATTGATGTATTGAAATATTTAACTCATTTTTCCCTTGTAATTTCTGCATGTATGTTTCTTTAATATAAGATATTCACACTCGCTCTAAGAAAAGTTTTCACTATTCTTTTTTGTTAGTTATTTTATACTTGTACGCTATATAGCTAAAAAATTAATATACTATGGAAACTTTGAAGAATGTTTATTAGAAATTGGTTTGAAATTTCCTTTTGTTTTCTAGCTATCGTCAAGGTCAAGCAGCTGTATTGTCTGGAATTTTATGCCTTCGCAAACTAGGAATTCCCACTAAACGGCCTGAAGATTATTTTGCAGAAATGGCAAAGTCAGATACACACATGCAAAAGGTTTAATGTTTAACTGTTTTGTTCCTGTTATTTTGTATTAAATCTGTGAAATTATAAAAGTAAGAAAAGTGTTAAAATTAAAGATAATTATTCTTCAGTCTACAGAAAGAATACATTTTCAAGCATCCAAAGCAAATGACTGTGCATATATAGTATCAGTTACCGTTGGGTATTGAAATATAACCCAGAGAAGACTAATCAGAACTAAATATGGAACTCTCCAAATTGGATATACACCAAATAAATTTTACAGTAAAAAAATAATTGAGGTTTTTATGTATTTAATTCTATATATCTTCAGAAAAGCATGAATGATGGAACCTTGCATGGGATCCTCTTTCCACCACCACTGTTTATTGCCTGTAATAAGACATCCTTTTCAATACCTTGATTGATTATAATTTTTTTTAAATTTTATTAAAATAAAAATTATTATTTAGATATATTTTTACTGAAATGTTTTGTTAAAAAAAGTATGAAAAGAGTTGTTTTACAGACCTATTACTGCACCATTTGAAGGTGAAGATTGAGACATATAAATTATTTTTCAAGAAACAATCAAGAGTAAGGCAAATAATTTTACTAGAAGATAGAAAGGAAAAATAGTTTTCAGGTAACTCCTCTTTTATTTTACATTATTCTCTGTCTTGATTAATAATAGGTTCGAGAGAAGTTGCTCAGTAAACAAGTTGCTCTGGAAAGGTCTGAGAAAGCAAGGAAGCTAAGGGAGTTAAGGAAATTTGGCAAGAAGGTATGTGAGTGCTTAATTATTTTTACACAGTTATTACTGATAAGTATATGTATCCATATAAATATAATTTTATAATTTAGTACACATTTTTTCATTCTTCTGCACATGTAGTGTTCAGATCTTAACTTGTTGTTTCTAGTTATTCTTGAAAACAAATAACTTTAACTAGCTCTTAAATATTGAAAAATTAATTTGAAACAAATTATTTATGTGTTCAGAAATAATAAGTAATACACTTTCAGAATTGTGATCAAAGTAAGATAACCAATTAAACCTTGCTTAAATTTTATTGTGCATAATAATTGGCATTAAATAAATAGATTGCATAAATTTTGCTATATGGTATAAAAATATGTAGCATTGTAATCTAGTGAAACTTGTTCTTCTTGGCACATATGTATTAAGAATGATAATAATCTGGCTGCAGTTCACCATCTTATTGTTTTTATATTTTCACAGATTCAAAATGAAGTTCTTCAAAAAAGACAAAAACAGAAAAAAGAAATGCTAGAGTCAGTCAAGAAATATAGAAAAGGTAAAATGAACCTGAAAAATTTCTGTTGGCTTAACATTTGTTTAAATCTGTATCATATGTGAAATTGTAACTTATATGGCACCAATATTTAAAAGTTATTTTACTTTTTTATATCTTATACCAGAATAGTTTCTTTTGATTGTTTTTTTTTCTAAATGAATAACTTTGCCTTAAAGAAACTAGATTTGTACTACATGGCCATAATTGATTTATCAGAATACTTAGAACTGTCTTATTGAATGTTTTAGTACTTAGTTTTTTTTTAATAAACTGTATGGATAAATAATGTTTTACACTATATTTTTGTAATAAGTATAATTTTCTGGTAATTGTAATGGTATTTAATCATTGATACAGTTTACTGGCAAGACTTGTACAATGGTATTAACTTGAGTTTTTGCTTATTGTAAAAAATGTCTTTTCTTCAAGTCTTCATTTTCTGTGTTTTTGTGTAGTAGGTTATTTTAAAGAGAAATTTTGATAATGTTGTTGATTGACAATCCCCATCTTTCAGGACAGACACAAAACTTAGATTTTCTGGATGGCACACCAATCCAGCCAAAAAACTCATCCCAGGAAAAGGGACAGAAAAGAAATAAAATGTGAGTTCAATACTTTACATTGTATATGTGTCTCAGCGGGGTAAGTTATTGTAATCATAGTCACTTAATTCTTTGTCTTAAGACAGAAGCTTCACAGCATTCTTGATGATGTAATTGAACATTATTTCAACAAAGAATTACAGTAGTTTGTGCTTCAGGTTTAAATTAAACCTTTATATCACAAGAAAATAGTTAACAGACTAAATAATTGTACTTGCCAATTTCCAAGTGAAAGCAGTTATTTAAATTACACTTAAACAAATAAAATTTCAAAAGAGGGTTTCGCTTTCTGAGGTTTTCAGTTTCCTTATATCTGTAATGAAAATAAATGCTTTAGCTTTTTCATTTCTACATTATGCCATAAACTTGGTGTGATGATAGTTGCAGTAACTTTTGTTTTAGTTACATAGCATATAAATACAGTTTTTAATAGGTTTAAATCAATATAAAGAACTCAGCATTTTCTGGGTGCATCCATTTTCATTCAGTGATAGTAAAGTTCAGCTTCACCAGTATTGTCTTTTATTACCTTAGAATGTAAAATAATAACCAAAATTGGCTCTCTGTTCCTACTTACAATAATAAACTCGTTAAAGTATATAATATTGTACTTGATTAAATTTGTTTTTTGTGAGTTTCATTTGCTAGTTAAAATAGCTATCTTAATTTACCATTGTTACTTATTATGATTATAATGCATACCATAACTGATGGTATAGTTGAAACTCTTCTATAGAAAGAATATTTCTTCAGTGAGATTGTTCAAGTAATATAGGGCCAAAATACACAGCATTTCAAAGAAGGAAGTCTTCAGTGGTCTTGTTAGAAACAAAACAAAAACAAAAAACAGCAGTGCATAGGACAGCAAAATGGTGTACTCCAGTGCAGTCCTAATAAAAAATCTTTTATCTGCAGAGTCAAGGGTATCCTCTGACCCATAGAACCATTGTAAAGATGCTGAGCATATCTCCTGGAACCATTAGCATTATAAACAACAATTTTAAGTTGAAGAAAGGTTCAGAATCTTCTAACCACACCTCAAAATCAGTTTTCAAGAGAAAGGTAGGCCTTGGTGCCTTTAGCGTGTGTGGACTTGGAAGCTAATGCCCAGGTACAGTGGAATCTATAACAAAAACATTATCAGTGTGAAATATTGCCAAGTTATAAAATTAGCCTAATTTTATAAAGTGAAGATATTAGATACACAAGCCAAGTTAGAAAAAACATTTGAGGCAACCTTGTTATCTACTATTACTTGTAATAAAGTATTAATAATACTATTAATACAGTTATGTCTTCCAACTTGGCCTGTGTTTCTGATATCTCCACTTTATATGACTTGGCTCTTTTTATAACTTGGTGTTTTTTAAAATTAATACACATTGACAATGTTTTTGTTATATAGGGTGTCTGAAAAGTCTGTAACTATAGATGATTTGCAACTTTTCTTAATTTCAGATACTTGACTGATTATGGTACTGTCAAAGCATGAGAAAGTCAAGTTCATCCTGCTGTATTGCAGAGAAGGTTGGTCCCAGCAGAAAGTTTCTACCAAATTTCATGTATGCCATCCAGAAAGAGAGAGAAACATTACTCACGGTGCTTTTGGGAAGTTGCTAGCTAAATTTGAGGAGATTGGCAGTGTAGACCATTGACAATGAGATGAATATGCTTTGCAGTGTTGAAAGAGAATGGAAATACCATTTCCAAACTTGTGAAATTAACCTTTACTCTATGTTTCGTACTTAAATTTTCTTCCTCACTTTTATAGATTAGGGTTATGAATAAATTACATCTAGAAATAAATAACAATATTTTTTTTATTTTTTAAGAATGAATAGGGCACAACAAAGAAAAAAGTATAAAGATACAAGATATGGCTATGGAGGACAAAAGAAAAGGTCCAAGTATAACACTGCTCAAAGTTCAGCAGCTATGTCAGGATTCCATTCCAAAAAGTCCAGCTTACCCCCAGGAAAGAAGTCTAAAGTAAGTTTTTAAACTGGTATTTAGGAAAGTTGGACAATAATAGATTATTTTTTCTTATTGGCAAAAAAAAATTCAGTCGTATGCTTGGTATTTTCAAGTTTCTGTTTTTCATTTTTATTATAACATTCAATGATAGAAATTAAATAGTAGTTTTCATAACAGTTAATTAGAAAAATGTTTTTATTATTTCATTTGGCAGTATTGGATGATTTTAGTTTCATTTTAATAATTTTCTGTTACTTTGCTCATAAACATAAGATAATATTGTTAAATCAGACATATATATAAGAGTATATTTTTACCCACAGGAGTTTACTTTTAAAATATAATTTCTATAATTTGAGTTTTAAAATTGTTGTTTATTGATATTTTTCTTTAGATGAAGAATAAAAGGCCAGGGAAATCTAGAAGGCAGAATATGAAGAGTAAAAAGAAATGATGAGTCACTGTCCTGTTGTAATCTTAAATGAATGTACATTTTGAATTATGTATTTTGATGTAATAAACATTGTAATAAAGCCTTGCAATTAGGTAATACTTTGAAAACAGCAATGTGAAAGTTAGGAAAAAGAAATAAAAATTATTAGCTTAAAAAGTGATGGCCAAAATTTAAACATATATTTAAAATGTAATCTTTAGAAATTAACATATTCTAGTTTCATAATTCTGTAACCAACGGATCACTTAGTGTAACATTGCTGTTTACAGCTAACATTTACCCAGTTTGTTTTGATAGCTTTGTGACCATCTCACTACCAAAACATAAGCAGGTTACCTGTTGATCCATTCATGTTAAAACTGATGGTACTCCACATTTTTTTACATTGTTTTGTATATTTGCTTTGTATTTACCAAAAATGCCAAAAGTAGCTGTAGTAAGTGAGATGAGGAACAGCTTTATTTCTATAAATTCCTTCATACAAGTTATCACTACCAGCTCATTGTCATAACACATTGTGATGTAAGCTTGATTAAGCTGTTCTGTGGAGGGTTTAGTAAATTAAATTAAAACAGTTTTGAGTATGCAAGTTAGCAAGTCTTGTGATAATCACAGCTGATATGAAGTATTGGTGAGATGGAATGTATCAGAACTATATTTTGACATTGTTTGGCTTTTTGTAGATAGTGTGATGTTACCAAAATTAAATTATTTTGGGAAGGGTGTGTAACAGCCCTTTTTGATGCAAGATACTCATACACTTAAGTCATAAAGAGGTGTTCATATCAAGGATTTAGAATTCCCAACATGGGGATATTCCTTGTACTTAATGGCATTGGAAAATATAGGAATATAGATCAATTTGGGGAACCAGGACCATCCAGAAAGAGACTTTCACTAAGTCATACCCCAACCATGGTAAGCAAGTGTGATGTGTTGTAACAGGTGAGAATTCACAAACACAAAGGTCAGTGGCAAAAACCATCCATGTGCCCTAAGCAACAGTTTACAACATAATCAAGGACCTGTACTGGAAACAAGACCAATGGGATCTGGGCTCACCAACAAAAGGATTTCCAGTCATATCTCCTGATCAAATATCACAGACCTCAAGCAGCTGGAGAATGAAATGAGTATTTATGATATTACATACAAGGACTTACTGGTTGAGCCATTAGTTGAAGTATCTATCGATTTCTGAATGAATGAACTGTAGAAATGGTCATTAGGAAACCATCATCCTTATACACTAGATGGGTTATTGCAAGCATATAGAGAGGATTGGTGTGCTTTTGACATGACAGCCTATGATGGAGCATTTTGCTATAGTAACTATGCTACAAGGCTACTGTCAAGATTAATGACTATCAGAAAGTGCATGACTGGCCGTGATGACATGGAGAATAACACAATGTTGTGAAACTCGAAAATCATTTCAATCTACCGTACTCAACAACTGTATTCCTAAGTAGCAGGTTTTTATACAGTAATGTTGGGGAATATATCTAATAGCAAAGAAAATGATAATTACTGTTTCTGTTTTATTTCTTACTATTACCTGAACATTTGTTCACCAATACTTGTTTAAATTCTGGAAATTTTTAAGATGGTCTTTACATCTTATCATCTTTAGTCTTTCCCTCACCCCATATAATTTAATTTTCATATGAAAAAAACTGAAATAGATTTTTATGTTGTTTTTTTTTATTTGTTTTGGAGTTACTTGTCAGTATTTTGTTAGTAACTAGCAGAGGTATTGGGCAGTATTTGTCTTAAAAAGTAATGCTATAAATTGAAGTGTAGGCCACCTCCTTCTACTACTTTTGAGTTATATCACACAAATCATTTGTTTAATATACAGGTCTGTCATACACACGTCATTAAACGTCACTTCCGAAACACACTGAGGCTGAGTTTGCAGATCAAGGGCAGATTGGTCAGAAATGAGACTTAATATTTCTGGCACCTTCTTTTTCTCAGGCAGCTAATCACGAGTCAAAGACAGACATTATGCCTCCTGCACCATTCTTGAAAATAGTATGCCATGTTTATAATGTTATTAAGTATTTCTCCTCCTTTATTGGGGTAAAATCGTTCCTCTGATTACCTAGTGGTTTCATTGTCACCAGACATTGCTTTGTATGCGAGGAGATTTGCTAATCATTTGAGATAGGGTGTTTCCATGCCTTGTCCTCCTTGTTTATTGGACCAGCATGCCTTGGTTTTCCATCGCCTGGAGAACCCTTATTTGGACTCGGAGGTTATATCCTCTTCTTCCTATCTGAGGCTCTAGACAAGATACCACAGTTCACCTTAATCAATATCAATTTTACAGAATTCGTTTGTTACTTGCAACAGTTTTTGCACTTTTTATCATACTTACAACTATTGTCAGAGGATTATCACAGATCTGAGCAATTTTCGGATGATCTTAGTCATTTATTGACTTCTACTTTGATCAAGTTATTATCTTGACTGGTTTGTTGTTGGGATTTTTTGGAGAGGGAAGTCTTGCTGGACAGAGTTTGCTTTCCTGCTTTGGCCCTTGGAGGTTTAGAGAAGCTCCTCTTCTCAGACAATTTATTTCTGCTAGTATTCTCGATTCCACGTAATCTTGAGTGGATGTGGTCCATCTCCACTCTTTCCTTTCTACCCTACCTTCTAGATTGCCCCAGTGGTCTTTCACAGGATGGATTTCAGCACCTCCCATTTGGGCTTCAGGCCTCTGGCTTCGGCACCCCAATCAGTTGGAACACACAAAAGCATTGGTGACAACTTTATAAGGTCAGGTCTTGTGGGGTGTCAATTCAGAGGGTTCATATCAATATGGGAGACCTTCACCACAGGTCAATGGGTCATTCAAATTCTCAGGTAAGGATTGGTCATTCCGTTAACGTCTCATCCTCCATTGTCTCTCATACTGATTAGCTTTCCACTCCTCAAGGACCTTCTTACATCCAACTATATAGCTGAAGCCATCCACGATCTTTGGCATAAGAGGTGATAGAGTGTGTTGGCTCCTATCTTATAGGTTTTTATTCCTGACTGTTTGTAGTACTGAAAATGGCGACCTGTTATCAACCTTTCTTTTCTCAAGCACCTCATCCAGCTTCCTCGGTTTAAAATGGAGTCGTGTCTTTCCCATCTGTGGCTCTTTTCATCTGGACTATGGATGATAAAATTCACACTCACCATTACATGGCTGACTTGTTTCTTCCTGCCACTTGACAGAACTTCACACTCAACTTCTGTTAGCAGAAGCTGCGAGAGCTGAGTTTCTTATCAAAAAGGAGAAATCCATTCTTACTCCTACACAGGTGTTTTTCAATTCCAGATTAAGTTGGACCCAAATTTCTCATTTACGCCTTCAGGCCATCGAATGGGTAGTTCTTCAAATACAGTTGTCTCCTTCTCCTCCAGCATATGCAACTTATCATTTGGGGGATGTGGGCATTCTTGGAATCACTCAATCCTTTAGGTTGGGCTCACATTCGAACCCTTCAGTGGTCGTCACGGGACCAATGGAATATTTGCGTAGATGCACTGGATTGTCTGGTGGTCCTGCCTGCTTCCAATTTGCAAGATCTCAGCTGGTGATTGGACAGGGACAACACAACGGCCAGTGTCCCTATACTGCCCACATGGCCTGAGATACGTCTTTTCACAAGCCTTTGTACAGAAGAGGAAACTTCTTTTAACATCAATCTTTTGAAACTTTAGTTTAATGAGCTATGACTCGGGGTCTTTAGGTGTTGCAAGGGAAGGTGATAATGCTTCACTCAAACAATTCCACAATCGTCTCGTACATTTCAAAGCAAGGGGCACTCACTCCAGATATCCGATTTGGAGCACACAAATATCAGATTTTTCTCCTCGTTGGCATGTTCCAGATGTAATGAATTTAGTGGTTGACCAGTTGTCTCCTCCCACAGAATGGATGCTTCATCCTCAAGTTTTTCGTTGGATCTGCTCTCGTCTTGGAATGCCTCAGATCAATTATTTTGCCACACACTGGAATGCTCAGTTCCTATCCTTTTGGTCTCCTGTACCTCACCCTCTGGGTTTGGGCATAGATGTTCTCAGCCAGGATTGGATGGGTCTTCATCTTTATGTGTTCCCTCCGATTCGTCTGTTATCCAAGGTTCATGCACTGATTCCATCCTTGTCCTGTCCAATTCTCCTGGTGGCACCACTTTGTCCAGGTCAGCCTTGGTTTCCACTCCTCCAGTATCTTCAGGAATGTCAAAATCTTTCCTTCACTCTGACCATCTCTCGTACGTCAGACTTTTTCCTCCAACAGTCAACATTCTTCAACTTCATTCCTGGTTTTTATGCAGTCCATGTAAGATGCACTGAGTACAAAATGGTTACATGGTTTGTTAATTCTACCTATCATGTAGCGAAAGTCTATGATAATAAAGGCATGTTTGGACAAAACTTGCTTTTCCTTGTATGTAAGTATTAGGCTCTTAGTTACACTACATTTATGCTTACCCTGACATAACAGTGATATTATGATAAACAAACTGCATACCAACATTCAGGAATATATAACTTCCAGCTGCAGTAATATTAAAGTCCCATTAAATTTTAATATTGAAAGTCATGTAGAGATGGTCTATGTATAGACGTATCATCCCTATATTCTTGGCATTATTTTTGCAAAATGTTTTTATTACTTGTTTTGTGACGTTTTTATTCCCCTGGCTGAAAGTTAGTGTATTCTACATGTTACAATCATTTAATGTTCATCTATTATTGGTTGGTAATTCTTATTCCACCCTGTACTTAAGCGTTTTAAAAGGAATACCAAATTTCATTAAAAGAAGCTAACTTCAAAGGATAATGATAACATCGTTTACATTAGCATTATGAATTTTTAAATTACCACTAGCTATTACAACTAAGCTAAGCGATAACATTGTGCACTGCCCAGAAACACGTAGAGTGTATTTAGGATTAAACTGACGTTAGTGATAAAGTAGTAGAGTTATCTCGACGCAAACAAGAAGAAGAAGAATGTTGAACAATTTGGCGGGTTGGACACTTTCTGGTTTGGTATCTTAGCGCAGGTTTCTTGGCTTGTTAGGTAGAGAAACAAATAAAAGTGGGTGGTAATCATCTTTTAAAGTGAAACTCTCAGTCTTTGTTGATTTCTTAGTATGCATATTTGTATTATGCCTATTTAGAACATTGGCCATCCCTACATATATAATTTACCGATTCTATGATATTTACATGAATACATCAAACAATATTATTGAGATATTTTCAGCTGTGGCAATTTCTATGTATTCACAAGAAATGGAAGAGTAAAGTTTTAAGTCATTAATTATTTTATTGGTGGAGGTAATTTCAATTTAAAAGAAGAAATTATAATAAAACGTTTATTATCTGACCTATCAGTGTGGTATTCCCCAGTTCATAGATTTCCAGCAGAGTAAACAGGAGGCTCACCGAATGTCATGCTACGGAGTATGGGGCACTCTGAACTCTTGAATTCGTCAACAAAATGGGTCAAAACATAAAATTTATGAATCGGCATTTATTAAAATAACACGATGCACAAACAAAACAAGTGTGTTTGCAGTGGATGTGTGGAATTGGTAAGAGAGAGAGAATTTTAAAAAGCATTGCCTCTCTCTCACCTGTTCTGTGTGAGTACTCCTCATGGTAAGTGTACATGCAAAACAACACACCCACCTCATCCGCTTCAAAGCACTGACGCTCGAACACAAGAGTGGGAAGCCCCAGAACATTACAAGACTCACAAACAGGAAAAAAACAGTTGTCTATTTCAAGACATCATAGATGAAGTAACAACTGTCTTTTCTGTTAGAAAACAATCCCATGGAAGTGTAGTAACACTGTCCACCTATAAAAACACCATCTGCCTTTATAAAACACACACAATACGCTTGATAAGACCAACCACCTATATAAACATTATCCTTAGTAAGACCATCTGCCTATACGAGCAGTAGCCTTTGTAAAACAATCCACCTATAGGAATGTTACGTCTCCGTTTGTTAATTAACTTTCCGTAACTTCGTTCCGACGAAACTTTAGCGACACAAGTCCTTACTTAATAAAACTGGTTTATTCTTTCCGAATACAACTTTACGATACACTTATTTTCAACAGTCGCTCTATAACAAACGCTATATCAACGAACGTCAACAATACTTCTGACTGCAGTTCAATTACTCACTATCTACACACACACATTACCTTCCCGTCACGTTGTCACCCTCTTTTATATACTAGCTTACCATATATCTAGTATA